ATCACTTGGTAAATCAAATAAATAAGAGATAAAAATATATGCCTATTTTATATTATATTACAGCTTAAGAGAATGCACCAATCACTGAAGGGCGAGGTTACTACAACGGTCAGTGAGTCTCATAACCTTTGCCTTCCGCGGTCCTGTTCAACACTTAACATAAGTGCTAGTGTAATCCTTCAGTCAAAGACCAACTGAATCGACACTACAGTCTTTTTCCAAGTGGGGTCTCACTGCCAGTCTAGACTGTGAACGAATAGTTTAGTCTTATAAGGAACCGATAGGTGATCTTTCTGTTTGAAACTCTTTGAACCACACTACCTCAATATAAGACATGGAGTATGTATTGCATAAATAAATAAACTGCAAACATATGTATTTTGACCGAAACATGATTGCCAGATCAAAATGGAATTGATAGAATCTGCAAAACATAGCTTTTACAGCATACCTCTAACATTGACTTCACATAGTCAATAGATATAGTACCAGTTGAGAGTAGTTGTCTAATGGTATTATGTCTTCGACGAATATGTCTAGACTTACCATTATACATATTACTTTGTTCCCTTCCTATAGCCGATTGACTATCACAATGTATACAAATGGCTGGCACTGGCTTAGACCATTTTGGAATATCTTCTAAGAAATGGCGAAGCCACTCTGCCTCTTCTCCACTTTTGTCCAATGCTATAAACTCGGACTCCATTGTGGATCTGGCAATAACAGTCTGCTTAGAAGATTTTCATGATATGGCTGCACCTCCCAAAGTGAATAAATATCCACTAGTGGATTTAGAATCTTTCATCTCCGATATCCAGTTGGCATCGCTATAGCCTTCAATTACAGCTGGATATTTACAGTAGTGCAGACCATATTTACAAGTATATCTCAAGTATCTGAGTAATCTCATAATTCCTTTCCAGTGTTCATCTCCTGGATTACTTGTATATCTACTCAATTTACTCACAGCAAAGGCGATGTCTGGTCTAGTGCAATTCATTAGATACATCAGACTTCCTATCACCCTTGAATATTCGACTTGAGAAACACTTTCTCCTTTATTTTTCGACAGATGTTGACTTGTATCTATCGGGGTCCTAGTCTGAGTCAAATCATCCTTATTAATTTTTTCAAGGATTTTCTCCACATAATGTGTCTGATTCAGAACAATTCCTTGTGATGTTTTATGAATTTTAATTCCAAGAATCACATCAGCTAGACCCATATCTTTCATGTCAAATCTTGAATTTAACATATCTTTTGTGGGTTTAATAATTTTATCATTGCTTCCAACAATGAGCATGTCATTTACGTAAAGGCATAGGATTACATAACCCTTTTCTGTGTCTTTAACATAAACACATTTATCACATTCATTAATTTTAAATCCACATTCAATCATGACATTATCAAACTTTTCATGCCATTGTTTTGGAGCTTGTTTTAAGCCATACAAAGACTTAACCAATTTGCAAACTTTATTCTCTTGCCCTAGAGCAGAGAATCCTTCAGGTTGCTCCATATAAATCTCTTCTTCTACATCTCCATTTAGAAAAAAGCTGTTTTTACATCCATTTGATGTATTTCAAGATTTCGTAAAGCTGCAATTGCAATAATCACCCTGATGGATGTTATCCTCGTCACTGGAGAATGGGTATCAAAGTAATCAAGGCCTTCTTTTTGCTTATATCCTTTAATCACAAGTCTAGCCTTATACTTATCAATTGTTCCATCAGGTTTCATTTTCCTTTTAAAAATCCATCTATAGCCCAATGGTTTACTTCCAGGAGGAAGATCCACTAGCTCCCATGTGTGATTTTGCAAAATTGAATCAATTTCACTTTGGATTGCCTCTTTCCAAAGAGGTCCTTCAGAAGAATTTACAGCTTCTGAAAACATTTGTGGTTTGCTTTCAACCATATAGGTTAGAAAATCTGGACCAAAAGATTTTTCTATCCTACTTCTTTTACTTTTCCGAGGTTCTACCTCAACATATCCATCTTGATCTTTTTCCATTATTTCCAAATTTCTTTTAGTGGAACTATAATTCACTTCAGACTTACGTGGAAATATATGCTCAAAAAATGATGCATTTCTAGATTCAAGTATCGTGTTCTTATGAATTTCCTCAATTTTGGATTCATGTACAAGAAAACGATAAGAACTACTGTTGTGTGCATATCCAATAAATACGCAATCAACAGTTTTTGGTCCAATCTTTATTTTCTTTGGCGTAGGTATTGCCACTTTTGCCAGACACCCCCACACTCGCAAGTATTTGTAGGATGGTGGTCTTCCATGTCATAATTCATATGGACTTTTGTCTAACTTTTTACGGGGAACCTTATTTAAAAGGTAATTTGCTGACAACACAGCTTCCCCCCACATGTTCTGTGGAAGTCCAGAACTTAACAACATTGAATTCATCATTTCTTTTAAAGTACAATTTTTTCTCTCTGCAATCCCATTTTGTTGCGGTGAATAAGGTGCTGTCATTTCATGTCTTATTCCATGTTGGGCACAAAATTCAGCGAAAGGTGACTCATATTCACCTCCCCTGTCACTTCTTATCACCTTAATCTTTTTATTTAACTGATTTTCAACTTCATTTTTATAGAGAATAAATTTCTCTATCGCTTCATCCTTACTTTTGAGAAGATACACATAACAAAATTTAGTGCTATCATCTACAAAAGTAATGAAATATTTATTTCCACCACGTGTCATTACAGCTTTTAAATGACATATATCAATGTGAATTAAATCAAGTGGTTCACTATTTCTTTCAATAGTTTGAAACGGTAATCGTGTCAATTTTGCCTCAACACAAGTTTCACACTTATGTTTTGAATCAATATGGAACATAGGTATGCTTTTCAATTTTATTAACCTGCGCAGGGTATTATAATTGACATGTCCCAGTCTACCATGCCACGCAATGGAAGACTCAAGCATATAAACGGAAGAATTAACATTTTTATTAATTGTCATAACATTGAGCTTAAAAAGCCCATTACATTCATAACCCTTCCCTACAAATGCTCCATTTTTAGTCAAAATAACCTTATCAGATTCAAACACTACACGAAAACCATGTTTGATCAATAAAAGAACCAGGCACTAGGTTCTTACGAATTTCTGGTACATAAAGAACATTATTAAGAGTCAATTCTTTTTCAGATGTCATTTTCAGTACCACTTTCCCTACTCCTTTGATGTCAGACGTGGCAGAATTTCCCATGAAGAGCTTTTCTCCATCCATCGTCTCTTCAAGGACATTAAACAATTCCTTGTTTGAGCAAACATGACGGGTACCACCCGTGTCAATCCACCATTCATGTGGATTTGAGCCCACCAGATTCACCTCGGATATAACTGCGGCGAGGTGCATCTCATCAACATCTTTGGCCAGATTTTCCACCATGTGGGCTTCTTGAGTTTTCTTTGGGAACCTGCAATCAGATGCCTTATTGCCAAGTGTATTACAATTATAACAATTTCCAGAAAACTTTTTCTTGAAAATTTGTTTCCTTGGCCCCATTATTGCCTTTCCATTATTGCCAACTTTTTTCTTATTATTTTTGTTTGAGCTTTCGCCATGCTCAACAACATTAGCCTTGACAACATGAGGATTAACCATTTTATTGTCGTAGCCCTTGTTGTCTTCTTCAATTCAAAGTCTAACAACGAGCTCTTCAACGGTCATCTCCTTTTTCTTATGTAATAAATAATTTTTGAGATCTTTCCAGCTCGGTGGTAGCTTTGCAATTATGGCAGCCACCTGGAAAGTTTCATTCACAACCATTCTCTCGGAATGGATATCATGCAAGATTATTTGAAGCTCTTGCACTTGACTGATTACAGTTTTCGAGTCAACCATCTTGTAGTCCAGAAAACGGCCTACAAGAAATTTCTTGGCCCCAGCGTCTTCGGTTTTATATTTTTTATCCAAAGACTCCCACAACTCTTTTGCTGTTTTGATAGAACTGTACACATTGTACAGTGCATCAGCCAAGCAGTTCATCACATAATTTCTACACAAGAAATCCGAGTGATTCCATGCATCAAGGGCACTAACCGCTTGAACATTCGGATTTTCCCCCAACTTTGGTGGATTTTCCGTCAAGAACCTCACAAGGTTCAACGTAGTGAGATAAAACAACATCTTTTGCTGCCAACGCTTGAAATTCAAGCCATTAAATTTTTCCCGTTTATCAGCATGATTTACCGGAACAGAAGGAGAAATAGAAATTGTAGTAGCACCACCGGTATTAGGAACGCCAATAGTATTTTGTTCAGCAGCCATCTTTAATCAGAATCTGTTTTAAGATTGTAGGGAACTTTATCGGAAAAATAAATATAAGATGGTTAAATAATAAAATACCGAGGCCTGTGAGAACACAGTGTCCTTAAAACAGATTCGCCCCGTTTGAGCGTCTGTTTCCCAGGATACAACGAAAAAACCGAAACAAATTCGGCGAACTGGAATTATGCCTGGACCAAAATACTTTAACAATAAAAATGGGGAAAGCTTTTAGTAGTGTTTTTCTTTTTCTTGGTTTCGTGTCTTTCATCAAAAGAAGACAAGTCTTCTTATATAGGCTTAAGCAAGCCACTTAAATTAATACATCATTTAATACCATTAATTCAAAATTTAATGAAGTTATGTTTGTAACATGAAAACAAGTTGTACTTTGTAAGTTAAAGACACGGTTTCAACAAATAAACTTTATGTTACAAATTTATTCAATAAATTTTCGAACAATTTATTTATTTATTTATTTATTTTTTGTATGTACGGCTATGTGATTGTCACTTCTGTAATAAATTTTTACTTTGATACACTTCTTGTAAAGCCCGTTTCAATTTATAGAATTTCTCGAAATATTCTATTTATCGAGTATTATTTATGAGATTATATTTATTTTATTAGTCGCGATGTCGACTTAAGTAATAGGTTGGGGTACATGATCGTTTTATTTTAAAACGTTCGATGTTCGACGATTTCGGTTTAATCGCATATTTCTGATTTAAACCGTTCGATTCTTGGATTTGTTATCGGATAGTATTATTATTATTATTATTATTATTATTATTATTATTATTATTATTATTATTATCATTATTATTATTGTTGTTGTTGTTGTTGTTGTTGTTGTTGTTATTAAGTGTCAATTTGCTAATATTTGTTGTTATTAATAATATTACTATTATTAAAAATTTGTCTAAATCCTATATTATATTTAAATAAAATGTGTTATACATGTAATTATGTATATATTAATGTCCCGTCGTATTTTATTATCGTCCGATTATATCGAGCCCGAGAGAACCTTGCACCCGGCCCAAGTAACCGAAACCGCACCCATCCCCCATCCATTATGCACGTGTTGGTGCAATATCTTGGTCAACAAGATTTTAAACCT